TGTATCTTGTGTAATCTCCCCTCCCCATGTAAATTATAAGTGGTAAATTATATATCCGGAGTTATCCGTAAATATTACATGTATTATAGAAATGTAGTTTTTCAATGGTTATTATTAGCGTAGCATTCCTATAAATAGGGATTTATGTAACCCTATATATTGAAATATTTTACGCGGGTCATATTCAACCTGGTAGGAAAAAAAAAATTGACTCGTATGAATAACGAGTTACAAAGTAATTAAATATTAGACAAATGATACCATGTAGAAATATGACTCCTTATATTGATGTTTGTAAAATGTTACAATATATATAGGGTAATAACAATCTCTATTTAGGTAAAAATTCTACACTAAATTACATTCTTATAATAGATGCGATCATTCTGAAGAAAATTATGGAGTAATTAACGTTAATCTAACAATACCAAATTATGGATGGCTTATTATATGGCTGAGCCAAAATCTCTAACCCGCAATTTTGCTGTAATTTTTTTAGGAAAACTAAAAATATGGTTGTGCTAAAAAAATAAAAGGATACAAGATATTTTTTCAAGAAAAAAATTTACTTGAGCTATTTATATATTTATTAGGTATTGAAAGAATCGAACTAATTAACATTAAGAAGTCACTTAACACTATATCAAGTGAGAGATTTAGGTTTAAATTTTATAAATAACGAGTTTATTATCAATTTGTTACCTACTTTTTAGTGTAAATATATCATCTTTTTTTTTCCTTTTTGAACAATCGATAATATCTACATTAAGGAGAGAAGGTGGGCTTAGACTCACGATGAGCTAGTAATAATGTGGTTGAAATTTGCCCTTGGTAATAATCAAACCTAAGGCCTCTCACTAATACCACTAGACCGTAGTACTAAGTAACAAATATATCATCTTATTAACAAAGTTGGTAAAAGAAAAAAAAAAAGACCCAAAGGCAAAGTCCCTATAGAAGGGATAATACGAGAGTACCAAATTATGCAGTCTTCAATTGTTTAAGGGACCTTAAGACTTAAGCCATGTGACTAAGGAAATAACTTGTTCATTTATTCATTATTATCCTTATTATTCTCATTGAAAACTTACTCTTTAATTTATCTCTATTGTTTTAAAATAAATTAATTGTGGTGCATATAATATAATACTTAAATATTCTCATATGCCCAACCCAAGTGCAGTAGGATTTTGTGAAGGATGGTTCTATTTAAACTTCTAGAAAAAGAGGAGTTTCGAACTCGGGACGTATGAGTAAAAAAAATTTTCAAATTTCCTGGTCTAGGGTTTTCTCCTATAAAAAGGATAGTTAGAAGAAACCCTAATTTGAGTTGGGAAGAAAGAGAAAGATTCATGAGGAGAAATCCGTAGCTACAAGCCTACAAGACGAGGTATGCCAATCCTTTCATAACTTTGTAACTTCAATTTAAGTTATCCAATCAATTTCTTTTGAAGTTAACCTAGTTTGTAAAGCCTCCTCATCAAAACTTTGGATTTGAATCTCAGATTCTTAATCATTCTTCACAATTAGGGATTATCTATCTAATGCAAGCCATTCTTGAAAACTATACCAATAAACAATGAAATATTTAGAGGAAAAGGGAAGATTTCCACCTAATTGGTTAGAGAATTCTTCGAAGGGTAATGCTAGGGAGAAAAATTTGTAGATAAAAAGTTTGAAAACTAAAGACATGGAAGTTGATGATTGCTTATTACTTAAGCGTTGATAAACATGCTCATTCCTATTGGTGACATGTCATTTAGTTTGCAAATTTTGTCTTCAAATTTAGTCTTCCTAGCATTACCCTTCTTGAAATTGAAACCCCAAACAAACTTACTTTTAACTTGTGATACTTTCATCTTATTTTAGAGATATATATGATTCATGTCTTTTTATTTTTTATTTTATGGTCTATTTATCATCAAATCGACGCGATACGATCCTTTTGAAACTACTTATGTAGGAAGAACTTACACTCAAAAGCGACTTTTCTAGAAGCACATCAAAATTTCTTAAAAATAAGCACTTGAAAGTGCTTTTGGAGACAATTCTTCATAAAGTGATTTTATGATTCATACACACTTTTAAGTTTTTCTGTCAAGCGTTGTTGTAAACGCTTTTGGTTGTTTGAAAGCCCTGTTAAGCCTTCCAAAAGTAGTTCACAACATGTCTTCAAAATGTTTTCAATGTAGATACGAGCCTTTAGAATTTCAAAAGATTCTCGAAAAATATGTGGTTAAGTTAGGACTAGGAATAGAAACAATCATCATGGATATGAGTAACCGCGGTGTCATGTCCAGGTGAGGCAAATATGGTCCTTTCCATTTCAAATTTAAGAGTGGTATAATAGTATTCAATAGGCTGATACTATTTACACACTTATTTTTACCTCTCGGACACCTGTGATTAATTTCTGTTCTTTGATCATCTTCGCTTCATTTGTTTGACACCCAAAAATAAGACATGTGTAGAAAGTAAAAAAAAAAAGTGTAGATAGCACCACTCTGTTCAATCGTGCTATAATTTTATATGGTATCTTTTATTGCATTTATACGTCATATCATATAATGTGATATGATTATCTTCCAAATAAGAAATAATAATAAATTAAAAAAACGTAACAAGGCCGTAGACTTTTAGTTGCCGTCCATAGTTGAAACTTTTGAATTGTCTATGGAAGTTTTGTAGAACTCAAAAAGTCATCAATGGATGATGATATCATTGTAGAATCCTTTTAGGATGTTTTTGTTACTGATGATTGACTTGGAGGAAAACATTTAAAACGTATTGAAGGAAACCCCTTTTCTCTGGTTTTTTTTTTTTTTTTTTTCTTCCTTTCTCTTTTTATCTGTGTTTCCCCTGTTTTCCCGTTAGTTTTTCACTACCATCCCATCCCCTTACGCCTTTGATTGGTAAGCCCCAAATTCGGACCTTCCCCTTCATCTTCTTCCTGCTGTTTTTTCACTTACATGGTTCTAATCAATCCATCTTCTATCTATCCCATTTGGCCCTATCTTCCTTCACTCCCACAAATTTCCAGATCTGTAATTGCTTCCCCCTTCCGTTTTTTTGCGGGTTAATCGAATGGTGCTTAGAGCTCTGGCTCGGATGTTTACACCACCACCATCCACTTGTCTGCCGTTCTTGGCGCTGTTGCTTGTGGGATATTCCACTGGCTTCCTTTCCTTGGTGGTTGCGATTTGGATATAAGTGGTTCTTGTTGCAGGTAGGTGGAGTCTTCTTCTTTTCGTTTATGGGGCTTTGCCTTGTTGGATCTTCGGCGTCTGCAAGGGAAGCTGGTTCGTTGTTGATGGTTGGTGCTCGGGCGGCGATAGAGGAAACTAGCTGCATGGTATTTCTGCTTTTGTGTTTTTCTGTTTTGGGCCTCAAAGTTTGTGTTGGGCTCTTTTTTGTGTTGCTATGGAGGCTTATATCTTTGTTTTATGCCTTTATTGTAAGTGGGCCTCCATCTATGTATATGTGTGTGCTTGGTAATAGGAGTAAGATTCTCTCCTCTCTTATTTTATTTTATTTTATTTTATTTTTTTTTTCTTTCTTTACGGTTAAGCCACCTTAATATCTTATATTGATTTTTTACCAAAAAAACAAAAAGACGTATTGAAGAAAAAAATTGATGACAACTTTCAATTTTGTTCAAGTCAAAGCTACAAAATTATACTCATGAAAGAAAGTTATCACTTTAAATCTTAAAAAAAAAATATAAAAAAAAAGGTAGAATTGGAAGGTATCCTGTATTTTTTCTTTCAATATGCTTGAGTAGTGAGTTATCCTAACCAAATTGATATTCCGTGACAAACAACCAAATTGATCATCCGTGACAAACACAACCTTACGGTTTACTGATGGAACAAATTTCTATAAGGAAATTTATTAAAATCCAAGTTCTTGAGTTAAGTCACCAATTAGTACTACGATCTAGTGATATTCATTTTCCCTTATAAGCAAGAGACCTTGAGTTCAATTTTCGTGGATGAAGGGTTTGATGCTAAATTTTTTTGATCGTTCGTTATGTGGCTTGACTCATATCCCACTCCCTTAGAGCAAATATGTCATTGTACTTGATGAGCTCAAGTTGTGAAGGAAACTGGTAAAATATAGGTTTTCAAAATCCCAACGTTCATTAGTAACTTTTTTTTATTTTTTATTTAACACTACCTTTCATTAGTTTGAAAAAATGGTAAACGAGCAGTTCATGGGTCTGAATCCTTGCTTGAAATTTTTCTGCAACCCTCGAAGTCGAAGGCTGGGCCCGGCCCATACCTTAGCGACTGACCACCATCTTGATAATCTTTAGATTTTGAAAATTAAGAAATGACATCTATAGCTGCTTAGGCGTCCGTTTGGAGTTGCTTAAGCATCCGCTTAGATCCGTTTAGGCGTCCGCTTAGGTTGCGACTCTCATAGAGACAGAAAATAGATTACTTTCATTTTGCATTTTTTTAAATAAATTGTAAGAGAATTAAATACCTGGATGAACACTTATTATATTATGTTTCCCCATGTTTTCAATATGTTCTACTACTATCTTATTTATATGTCATTTTATTTTATAATTTATGTATTTTAACACAATTATGTATTTTCTACATACAAACATGCACGTATTTATATGATGTATAATAAGTTTACATAAATTCGTCTAGTCCACCTAGGTCCCCACATGGCTAGACCTCAGTCTGCCGCTCGACTAGCACTTAACGTGTTTTAAAACTTTAGTTTAACATACATAATCTTTTATCGATGATCATTAGATAGATTTTTCAATATACTTGAAACGCATCAATCTTGTCATGTGCTTATATTATAACACGTAGTATAACAGATTATGTTTTGAGTACACATAAAAATTTATGGTTCATTAGTTCCCTCCTCTAGTTCCTTTATTATGATTTATTAATATTATTATTTTACATTTTTATTGTTTCATCCCAATAGATACATTAAATGCAAAATTAGCCATCAAGATTCAACACAACATTGCTTGCTTTCTTCAAAGGTTTCTCTTTTCAATTTTCAGTTTCTCCAGGGACCAGAGGTGCAAACCAGAATCCACAAGTTTCCAGAGTCCGAAACCGTCCTTCCCACCGTCCCTGTCAAAGGTACATTTTTACCCCCACACTCGCTCTTCCTTTTTTCTGCACAGTTTCTCACAACCCATTAATGGCGGTCGCCACCTGAAGCGAATGCATAAACCTTGTTTTTCATCTGAACCCAAATATACTAAACACATTAGCAGAATTGCCCAACCATTAATTTTTTAGTGTAATGCTGTATTGTTTGATTAACTAGGACTTGACGAAGATGCAAATTCCACCGCAAAGTTATATATTTTAGGGTTTTGGCAGTTGCTCTCGTCAGCAAATGGCTCCCTTTAGGTTCTGTTTGGTTCGACGGGAAATAGGTCGGGATATTTCCCTGGAAATGTTCATTTTTTGAAGTTTCCCGGCAAACTGAAAGATCTTGACCTCGATCGAAATTCCATTTTAGTGCTGACGTATTTACTGTTTGCAATTGTACTGTGAACTTTTTTTTATGCATGTCCGGCAACTTCACATTCTTTGCTTTTTCTTGGGAAGGAAATTACAATGTGTTTGGTTTTTGTATTAAAATTTAGGAATTTTTTATGTTGTTTTAAGTTTTAGAACAATACTTGGCTACCCAAAAGATGAGTAGGAACTCTTACTCAAAACTCTTAGTGTTTGAATAAAAAAGTTTTGTGTTTATGATTAGAATCGTTCATATTATGAATTATACTGTAAAGATCATCTCTGCAAGAACTGAAATAAAACTAAGGTCGTTTAGTTAATTTATTCTAGCAAATGGTTCGTAATACTTTTACCAATTCCGTTCATTTGTTTTTATATAGTTCGATAACTAAACAACATTAGTTTTAATTTATTTTTTGCAGAGGCGACCTGTATAGGGTGATTTATAATATCAACGGTTATGATTATAAACACGAAGTTTTATAAATTGGTAACGAACAATTTTGAGTAGGAACTCCTACTTATTCTTTGAGTAGCCAAATATTGTTCCAAGTTTTATAGTAAATGACGATGGAGACAATGCTATTAAATTCATGCTTAGAGTAGAAGTTTTTTGTTGGTGTCAGTCATACTGACATTTCTATTCTTAGCATTCAAAACACTGGTATATTGGATGCCATTAGTTTCTGAAAACCATATTGAAGAGGATGGGTTTAGAATTCTTGAGTTCTGTTTGGCGAAATAAAACCCGTTAGACACGAGTTTTGTGCTCGGACAAGGGGTCTCAAACAGTAAGAACATGAATGCTGAGTATGTAACCAATAGCTGCAGGGCTAAGATTGGCCATAGGTCTAAAAGGTTTATCTTTTACGCATATAGTTTCCCAATTGGATTAGATCCCATGAGTTGGGAGCTGACTTTGTCGAATTTCTTGCTACGCATGTTTTTGCTAACTGCTATAGGATTAGGTTAATTATAACTAGGTGCGATGCTTGAGTGAGCACTTGTGCGCGTTATCCTGATATGCATTGTTGGTTCATCCTCAAACAACTTAAGCTTAGCTTAAGCTTTTGGTGTCCAGTGGTAGTCTAACAGCGGTCACTGTTCTCTCTTGTGCTTCTGGAAGAAATGTGTTGTCTCTTGTTCTTTTGGATGGAAGTCTTCCCTCCTGGATGAATGGGTAGGCTTCAACCCAGGTTTAAGTAGGAGTTAAGGAAGTTAGATCAGGGTAGTGCACTTGAGTTTTTCGAGTTTTCTTTGACTTCTTTTTGAGTTCTTGATCTAGTCATTTCACTGTGTGGGGATCCCAGGATTGTAGAGAGCCAAGGTTTAGTGTTAAATTCGACGTTTTTACATTCCTTGTACAAAATGGAGTAATGGACTCTAGGTGTGAAAATTTGTATGAATTTGTTTACTTTCTATTGCTACATTGAGTATAAGCCAGAAGGTGGCACCTGATAAAGGTGAGAAAATTTTCTACAGGGTTTGATTAGGATTTGAAGGATAACATTGCTAAAATGGCGCCACCCGGTAGTTGTAGTGGTCATGGCAATCAAGAGACTGCTAAGAAAGCTTATTTTCCAATGGGGGACCAGCTGCAAAAATGGAAATCACCTTTTGGCCTCTATGCTGATTCTGACATGTTGGTGTGGTTGAAAGGACTTGCATTGGACCCTTGTGACCGTAATGTATCTCCTGGTTCATTGCGACAACTATGGAATCAGAGTCTTAAAGTGCGGAAATTCTTGCTTCTTGGTAATGCCGAATCTCCTCGGGTACGTCCAATACAACATTGTTTTTTTCTTTTAAATATCATTCCATTGTTTTCTGAGTGATAAATGTGTATTTGTCAATTTGTCTGAACCATTTACCATATTAGTACGTAGGGATAACGAACAAAACTCAGCTCACATCCTAACAAATGCACGTTGCAGTAGTGATAAGACTAGTTATCCTGTTACATACCTCTTATCTACCAGTTTTATGCTTACATATCGTATATTTTTGTTCGATCCCAAGCCTTATTTATCCTGCATGTCAAGCATACCTTAGGACCATTTCTTCAAAGATCTAACTTAGAATTGACCCCTCATCCAACTCATAATTGACTCATCATCGTGTTTCGTTGTTTGAGGACTTATCCCAAATAACATCATATTCTTGATAAGCTCTTCCACGATCATTACTGGAAATAGAGGGCTACTGAGCTAGCTTATTTCTTGACATAATTTTGTTTCTTCTACTTAATGACATAACATTACTCAAGTGAAACGTTTCGGTATCCAAATTCCAAAACATTTGACCCTTGCTTACAATTGGTGATAATTTCTCTAGATTCGAGTTGCTTTCTTTGTGTTTTAAGGCAATTGCCAGTTCAGAAGTTATCTCTTGCCATGAACTTCATTCTTCAGCCCCAATCTTATGAAAACTACCTTTCCCTCCCTTTTTTGTACAGAAAAAGCGAAAACTTGATCAGTTCCTAAAAGGTAGTAAGTTCGCCGAAGTTTCTCGATTGGATACAGGAAAATCTGATGTCCGTAGTGTTAAAAGAATGAGTACAGGGCATTCTGTCTCGTCATGCTTGACCAATACAAATGCCAACCATGAAATTTCCAAACCTCGGCTTGTCTCTAACTCGCACGGTTCTGGAAGTTTGTTGACATTTGAAAATGAATATCAAGGGAAGCCATATTCTACAAATTTGACCATTAGGGACGTGGAAAATTCTGGTCCATCTTGCAAGGATAATTCCGCCTCTCCTATATTTGATACAGATGAATCGAACAATGGTTTGAACAAATTTAATCTGGAAAACATGAACTTATGTGATGAAACTATTGAGAATGTTAATGATACAGCTGACAGCTCAGACTCTCCGAGTTTAGACGAGAAGAGTACAGAATTTGAACGTGCATTGAGGTTTATGATTTTTAGAGATGATTATCTTCCAAGGTCTATTCCTGTGAGAGATATCAACGGTTCATCTCACCACTCAGATTCATCCAGATCAATAGAGCAAAATCTGAAACTTAGAGAAGCAGTGAGATTACTATTTACAGATGGTAGTCTTCCGAGGTCTGTTGTTCCGATTGGTCCTTGTTTTCAGGCGGACGTCCCAGTGTGGACAGGTCCAATAAACAGTAAAACTCCTTATGGTGGTGATGGTGATTCAGCAGCGTCAAAGTGGTTGGGCACGCGAACGTGGCCCATTAAAGGAAAAAGTGCCGGAACCACTGTGAAAGCACTTGGGAAAGGGAGATCCAACTCTTGTTCTTGTATTTCTCCAGGATCTGTTGGTTGTGTTAAGCACCACATTCGTGAAGAAAGACAACTTTTGCAATTCGAACTTGGTCCTGCCTTCCGGAGTTGGAAGTTTGGCGAAATGGGAGAATTTGTCTCAAAGTCATGGACGTCAACTGAACAGCGGACCTTTGAATCTCTTGTGAAAGAGAAGCCACTATCAAATGAAGCAAGTTTTTGGAAGATTGCCTATAAGCGTTTCCCTTCCCAGTCCCGGAAGAGTATTTTGAATTACTACTACAATGTGTACATCCCTAGACGTATGAGCCTCCAGACCAGATCCTCCCTCGATAAAATTGACAGCGATGATGATGAGACGGAAGAGTAACAGAGGTAGCTGTAGAGATGTAAATGTAGGGGTAGCTTGATGTTGGCTCTGTTGTATACTTTGTCCCTTTAGGTTTAGCTCCAGGGCAATTTTGAAGACTGATCAGAGGTATTTTGGGTTCATAAAACCTTACACCAAAATTGAAAGCAGTTTTGATACTCGGTTACCTCTGTTTTGCTTTCTTATGAACTTGTTTGCTGTAATCTTTTTGTATTTAGTTGTCTCATATCGTCTTGGTTTTTATTCCAAATCCAGAGAGAGCCTATAGAGATTAGGCTTTGTATTCGTTCTAGCATTCTTTCGTCATGGAACGTAGGGTAGCAGTCAAGTTTTTCCGATTCCAAATGTTAATTATTTTGAAGAAGATGTGACCTCAACGTCATCTCGGAGGTCTCCGGGGCGTGATAAGCGAAAGAAGAGAGAAAGGCAGAAAGATACAAGAACAAGATCCAGATGTTGCCAATTGAGCATTCGGAAGTGAAGTACTAGTTCAAAATAGTGATGGCAACAACGTGGATAGGGAACAAAAAAAGAAGGAACTGCTTGAGGTAAGTGTTCCAAGTGTTTACTAACACTTTAGGAATCAATCAAACATACAATTAGAGCGCACCCAAAATCAGGATTATACTCCTGAAATTTTAGGAATTGGACTCCTTATAGGGAGGTATATTTGGATTCCTAGAAAAGTGTCCAACTTTTGTACCGACACTGTCCTATTGTTTGCAAGCCCTTATAGGAAGGTGTATTTGGGATCCTGTCCTTGAATTAGATCCTTATAAATGAGTGCATGTAATAGAGTTAGGTAAGTTTTGGATCGAATTATGAGTACTCAAGTTAAAAATCAAAGTACGCATAACAGATGAACGAACAAACGGTTTACAAAACGTATAGATTACTCAATCAACTAAACAGAAGAAAATGCCGAGACGGCTATATAATTTGAAGAGACTATATTGTGATTAACATATTTCTTATACTAAACTACAAACCATGTTTATAAAATGCAAAACTTAAGAAACCCTAATTTAGATGGCTAGGCCTAAATCCAAACAATAAAATAAACAATTAATTTTCCAACACTCCCGTCAAACTCATGGCGGTATACAATAGGAATTTGCCAACACACATATGTGGATGCAAGCTTCGTTATGCTAACTTCTGATGCCCATTCTCATATGAAATGCCATCGAATGTAAGTGCAAGATTCTACTGCTAGTGTCAGTGCAAGATTCTAATTCCCATTCCAACTTCCAAACAAAAATTCCAATTTCTCTAATCACTCAAGTAGTCACAAGTCCAAGCACTTGAGTGATTGCCATAGAAAATTAAAAAACCTGACAACATCAAATACTTTCCAATTCTCATCCTATTTTTTTTAGGTTTCAAACTTTCAGATTTGAATTGGACATCATATTTTGGAACTTTTCGATTGGGAGTCAGTCGAAATTGAATCTAAAAGTATATTTGTTTGGGCCCAAAATAATATTATTGGGCCGAGCTTAGGTTTGTAATCTGTCCAAAGCTCTTCCAAAAAATATTATGGGCCATCCAGTGGTCATAAGCCGCCCAATCAGGTTGGCCGAGTCCTATTGGAAGAAGGATTGATCTAGGTAAGAGCGAATGAGTCGAGTCCTAGTATAATAAGGAGTCTCAATGGAATGAGGATGCTCATATTTTAGAAGTGAAAGTGGCCGGATAAAGAGTGTGGTTCAAAGTCCTAATGGAGGTAGGATTGGCCGAGACTTGGTTAGATTAGGATAAAGAATCCTGATCCAAGTATAGTTCTGGTTCGGCCATGACGAGATTTGTTGCTGTAAATAAGAAAAGGGGTGCATCATTCTAAACCCCCTCCAATTCAACACATAAACTGCCCTGCGCAAATTCTTGCTTTACCCGAAACCTCACAACAACCTTGAGATTTTTATTTTCTTTTTCCACCAACACATCTTCAGTTTGGATAAACAGCACTATGAAGGCAATTGATGATATCTTCAGTTTGGATAAACAGCACTATTGCCGTAAAATCAGCCAACCGCTGAGCACCTTCAGTTTGGATAAATAACATTGCATCGAGGCCGACTAGTTATCTATCCAAGTCTCAGTCGAGAAGGATTTTCGAATCCTTATTGGCAGAGGTCATCTCATTAGCATTCTTGACAAAGTGAGGTGTTACAAGTTACTACATTCGGCACATTGAAAGCCAAATTTGATATTGAACTTCGCAGAACTAGCAGCCTTGTCTTTAGGCTCTAGAACCTGAAGGCCGAGACGTGTTCCTTTCTCAGCCGCTGTCACAAGATCAAGAAGTCAGCAGCACGCCCAACGCGATATCAACACATTTTACTCCTTGGTCGAGGTCGGCCGACGAGTTGGCATGCCCCGCACACAATCGAAAGACGTAGTTAGCTTATTGATTACTCGGCTTGTGCGCCACATATGCTTGGTAGTTTTTAGGGTCAACAATATTTCAAATATAGGTTAAGCAAAATTGGCTAAAGTAGTGTACTCCCTCAACTGCACAAGTTTAAACCCTATAATTTAGAAAAAAATTAGTACAAATATCGCTTAGACAAAAAAGAAAGAACAATATTTGTCAGGGAGTACTAATAAAAAATCTCTTGCAAATTTTTTTTTAATTGAAAAATACTTAATCAACGCTTTTTTATTATTAGGACGTCTTTTGTATTATAAGGAAGAAAAAAAAAAAGAAAAGAGTTGCGCTTCATGAGGGTTTTGAATTAAAAACCAAATGTTCTTATTAATAAACAAAGTCTCCTTAATATAAAAAGGCGCCCTCAATGATAAAGAAAGTTGTCTAAACAATTTTGAACAAAAAAAAGTTTGTGATGGTCTTTTAATTAATTTTCTATATTTGTTATGATCAATTATATGGATAAATTAGATATTATGAGTATATACAATCAAATTGGGTTCAATTCCAATCAAGAGAATTAATAAACAGTTTATTTGAAATCTTCACTCTCACTTCGATTTCAGGTAGTTTAGTAAACAAATTTGAGGAATCTCTACTCCTCAAACAAGTATTGTTCATTCCAATTATGAATTACTAAACATGTCAATCATTGTTATAGAAGAAGAGAAATGCTAAGTAAATTCTCTTAAAGTGAGACTTTTCATTAACTCTCTAACATCTCACAAATTAACGTTAATTTACGTGTCAACATTATAAAACATTATATAAAAAATAAGATGATAAAAATTTCATGAAGAATTTCACTTTTAAGAACCTTTTCAAAAATTTTATATAGAAGAAACAAGAAACAGTCGTTAACAAATATTGCATGAACCCCAGAGGGTGTGATTTTAGACAAATATTGCCAAACAAAATCTGATGAGTAAAATAATAAAGGCAAGTAAATCACAAACAAACCCCGAGGCTGAGTTGCAGACAGACGTAAGACATTAGTAGCCTACAACCGTTGACAAAAAAGTCCAACCATTACCTTAAACAAATCATTATCCACCTCCCTTCCCCATTGAGGCCATTGGATTATGAGCCTCCTCCTCTCTTTTTCTTTCCTTCCCTCCTTTATCTCCTCCGAGAAGAAGCATGTTGGGATGTTTTCATGGCCACTTTTTGACTCCTGAGGCAAATTGTGGATCATGGAAACCTTTTACACACCCCAAAACGAGGTGAAAGAATAATATCACGACTTGTTTCCAACGATATTCTAATTTAATTTGGACAAAAAATGATGAAGATCTAAATTTGGATGCAAATGAGTGAAGAAGTTGAGGTTTTACCATAAAATTAACTGACAATATGAGAAGTAGCTCAATTACTTATAAGCACATACAAGGTTCTTTGTTTCCCGATGTGGGATTTACTCTCAACACACCAGCTTACTGTGGTGAATTTTCAAGTCTAATACATGAACAACACATATCAGATGATGTGGAACACATGTTGCTGTTGGGCCTCACTTATGAGATAATCTGCTTTAATATCATGAAACAAGTTGAGGTTTCACCGTAAAATCAATTGATAATATAAGAAGCAGCTCACCTACTTATAAGCATATCTAAGGTCCCTCATTTTCTCGACGTGAGATTCACTTTCAATATGGAGCATGTTAGTTTGACCAATATTCTAATCTAACCTAAATTACAGATATGGAGTATTGAACTTTGGTTACAAGAGGAATCACATTAGTTCGAGCAATGCTGAAATTTAGCATACATTACAAGGAGACGGATTCGAACTTTAAATATAAGAAGAGCAAACCGATCTAGTTAACCTGAGAACGCCTAACTGGGTGCAACTGAGAACTTTTGATTGGTTTGATTCCTTCAACATGGTGGGAGGGCCCCATTGGGAAAAGAAATGAGTAAGAATCTCAACTTTGAGAGACAAAATTGCTAAGATTGGTTCATGTTTTTGGCAATGGGGATTTGGGTCGATCAAATGATCTAACATGCCTTTACATGTGTTGCGTTTTGTGGTCAAAGTTTCATTTCCTTTGCCTTTTACTCACAGTGTTATAATGGACAACGAATTTATAGGCTTTTGTGTTTTCTTGACTTCACACTTTTGCTTGGTTTTTTCACAACCTCACTTTTCACTTTATACTCTGGTCAATATTGCCTGAAATATTCCTACTTTGTTCATATATCCACATGATACACGCCATAGAGAAGGTCATTTTAATACTTCTTGATTTTTAATTAATCTTGATCTAAATTGTTTTGGCTATTTGCAGTATTGCACAAATCATCGATGTGGTGTGAGTCATATGTCAAATTTTACGTTTATAACTAAGTTTGTTACTAGACTCAGTTCAAACCAAACATTTCTTTCTTAGTTCTATCAAATTTTACTGCATGCAATGGTGAAAAACGGTTCGATTTGTCGAATTGAAGTGGCTTTGGATTGGATTGGATTGTGATTGGCAAGGAGCTTAACTATATGTATATTTTAAGATTTTATTATCTTCATGAGCAAGATTAAATATATAAATCACACCACATGATAATTTCAGCAATTTAGACAATTGTTTTTGTTATTGCATTTTTGGAAGGAGGTAGATTGTCTGCCCTCCTATTTGGGAGTCATTCTCATCCTTTTTTATTTTGTCCTATGTTGACATGACTTAACCATAACTGCATAAATAAGAAAGAATAGGAAGAGCATCCAAACAGGTGATAATCTGCCTCTTTTTCGAAATGAACGAGCAACATGTGCCACTGCCACCCAACTAATTGTAAAATAAAATAAACTCGGTCGAAACACAATAAGTCAATTAGTGGCAGCCGACCAATCATTTCATATTCCATTCTCTGCATTAAAAGAAAATAATTACGTAAAGCTAATAAGGGTTGGTTTAGTTGGTAAGATTGTGCTTATGGTTAACTCTTACTGTTGGTAGCAGTTGTCGTTAATGCGCGATTTGTAAATTCCTATGTAAATCTATATTGGTAGCAGCTGATAGTTAAACGTCATATGTAAGTCTCTTTTGACTTAAGGTTGAAGATATACTCTAGAACTGGTGGTGAGAGTAGCAAGTCTCGCCCCGCCCTTGTGTAAATACCATAAACGTATGTCATACTATTTTTCGCAATTTTTATGGATTCGACCATGAAGCTGCTGAGTTTTGGACATTTTTCTGCAACTGCATTCACAGAGTCTTGTTTCCTTTTTTGGTAATTTTATGTAATTAACTCACTAAATTTTGATATATCTCATCATCCAAGTGGAAACAA